CTCCAATGGTTTCATCGAAGACATCATAAGAAGGAAAGTGAAAAGCCATGCAACCTCCGAAGAGACAACTAACACAACACCTATACCCCCTATTAGACTATTTTACAGGAACTTCTTTTCCACAGCTCATAAAACAGAGGAAAGGGTCCTGAAAGATATTGTTAATAGAAACGTTATCCCTACAGACAAAAATCAGAGGATACAACTGACGATTTACTATAAAACCAGAAAAACGGCCAGCCTACTCATGAGAAACTCTCCAGACACGAAACAGAACGCTTTAAAAGAGACTAACGTCGTCTATGCCTTCAAATGCCCACTTGGGGACTGTAAGCTCCAAAAAACCCAGTATATAGGCAAGACAACAACATCTCTTTCTAGGCGTTTAACGATGCATAAACAACAGGGCTCCATTAAGGAACATATAATCTCTTCCCATAACCAAACCATCGCCAGAGAAATCCTAGTAAACAACACAGAAATCATCGATAGATACAGCGATAGCAGGCGGCTCGACGTTTGCGAGGCACTACACATCAAGAAGTCAACACCAGCAATCAACAGCCAATTATTGCACAACTATATTCTACCCACCTCAAGACTCCGCTCCAATATAGAAGCATCAAGAAATATGGACCAATAGGCTTTCTACAAACACTTCTATTCAATATCCATTGTTTCGTGTTCTGTCTTGTGTTGATACTTTTAATACCCTATTAATATCCTCTAATGCCACATCATCCTTCCCACCTTACTCAAATGTAATGCCACATCACCCTTCCCACCTCACTCAAATGTAGATATAAAATCAGGGAAACGCAAGTTCTAATCAGTTGTGTATTTGTGAAGTCTTTGAAAATGTAATAAGTTTTACGAAACGCGCCCGTGTCGCGTCAGACTAGAAATAAAAATGAATTTTGGAGAAGTGATTTTTGATTTACCTCCAACAGTGAAGCATAATGTACGAAAGATTGAGAAAATTCGTGTTAGAATTATTAATCTTACTTTTTCGGTCATATTTAATAAAATATATATATATATATATATATATATATATATATATATATATATATATATATATATATAATAAATTCACTGTATCTATAATGCAGTGAAACTGAACGATGCTATATTACACAACGTTATAGTCCCAGAAAAGACGAAACAATGCTGGGTTTGGTGTCAACCAACGCACAAAATGGCGGCCAAGAGGGGGGGGGGGGGCAAGCCAAATCCAGAAGGCGCTAATATGAAAATTATAACGTAGAGGGAATTTCTAGAAAAATCTGAGCCAACGCCTGATTTGAGGGCTAAAGACCAATTGTCTCTTTACCAATCAAATCGTTGTACGGGAGCGAGTAGCCAGTCACAAAGAACGGAGAAGGGGAGCTGATTCTTCGAGAGGTATATAAGGATAGGCTTCCCTGGACAGCCGTTTCTCATGTGTCCAGTCATGGTCTGGGGCTGTGTCGTTGTTGGTGTCAAGTGTGTGGTGCCTATGATCGAGTTTTGAGGTCGTGTGTTACTGCCTCTGGGTGGCACATTAGTAAAGCAGAGGACAGACAATGCGGAGAGAGAACCTTGAGAACGGTTTGGACGACCCGGAGGATGCAGGACCTGGCATCACGTTGCCCCGTCGGGCATGGCCGTCAAAGTTGCCATTCTGGAAGCATGCGGGTGTTTCACTGACAGTTTCGGCCGACGTCGAAATGAGAGTAGCAGATCACCAGCGTCAGAGGAACGCTTTATGTTTGGTGAAATATTTATATGATAATCTGCTAGTGAAATAATTATTTAGTGACTGGTGGTATTCCTTTGATACCATGTTAAGCAAATAACCATGTTACAGAATTAAGGTGGTGAACTGCGGTTCCAGTGGGTGGTGACAACAGATCTGTAATGTGTCATCGAGGCAGTGGAGAGGAAAACTCTAAGGAAAAGTAATCTTAAACTCATTTACAACGTTCAGAGGCTGCAGTTGCACCCGGAAACTTTGGGGAACTAGTAATCTCAGATAACATTGAAATTTCCTGGGGAATAAACTTACGGTTGTTTGTCTGTTGCGGCCTCGCCTACGCAGAGGCCACCTCTAGTGTAAGCGACGGAAGTTTCCGACATGGTAAGAAGAGAAAAAAAAAAGACGTCAGGAATTTGATTGTTTTTGGAGAGTCGTCAAGTCTAGACTAATGGGGAAACTTCCCAATGGTGATTGGGTTTATTGGGGAAGCGTATTATTCTTGCCCCAGGTATAAGGCTCCCTGGTGGTTGAAATATTCTTGATTAACAAGTGCAATATTCACTGGTGCTGCAGGCTAGGCGTGTAGACGTGTTATTGGTTAAACTGACGAAAATGAGTGACTATCAGCCATATTCGTGTTGTGCCTAATCAAAATAGATATTCGTTATATATTTTGATTAGATATATAATGTTGAGTGGTATCAGCTTACATGACTGTAGTCTCATGGCTTAGCATTATGGCATTAATGATAATGGTATTATCATGGCTGATAATGACTTAGGAACTGGTATGAAATACTTAAGGAGTGATTAATACAGCCAAGGACCAGAACAGTTAGTCTTGTTTTACTCATAAGCTTTAAGTGTCTCCAGTAATTTTTTTTAATATTTATAAATAATACTGAAACACTCAGAAGTCGTTACTATCGTCTTAAGTTGCTCCTTTGTAATATATAAAAATCATAACGTTACAAAATAACAAAGATTGCTGGCGAGGAGATTCTGGAAGTGCACTTGGTGACTGATCACATGGTGATCCACTGATTACTTGGTGACTGATTAACTTAATTCTGATTAGAGCTGCGGAGTTCTTCTGGAAGAGCGGTGTGAGGTCACTCTGAGTTCCAGGTCGTTCATAGGTTGTTGATAAAAATTAATGGGAAATAAAAAACATAAACACAAAAATTATGAAAATTAAAATATTATCTGGTATATTTTCCAGGTCATGATGTGGTGGCTGATCCTGGCACTGAGTATCGGGGCCTGGAACATAGGTTCCAGCCAAACTCAACTAATCTGCCAATTTCAGAAACATCCCGGCCAATCGTACTCCCACCTCATTAATTTCTTGCAAGATTTGCAGGAGGAGTATTTTTCAGGATGTACACTGGTAATTCTTCGTGACCCGTCGTCGCCCAAAGGTCACCAGAGGGACCACGGGTCCCACTTCGTCCCAAAGGGAACAGGATTTGGCGGTGGAATGTGGGCGACGGATTCCGAGAGCTCAAATTCGAAAGAGGATGACGGTTCGAGGGTGGACCATGAAATTATAGTGGATCAACTCCTCCACTATTACGCTACACAAGGATCAACAAGGGTCGTTTTCACACTGGATCAAAATTTATCCGAAATTCTACGAGACGCCGATCTCAACTCTAAGGCTTCGTGTCCTGCTTACATCACCTTCGCTGGGAACATATCTATGGCTCAGAAATTCTTCCTGATGACAAACAAGAACTGGGACAAATATTTCCTAATGCGTAAACACATTATCATCACTTACAGCAAGCAAGCTGCACTTGTGGACTTCCTTAACCAGGGAGAGATCAACACTATGACAAACTTGCTCTTCCTGCGAATAGTTGCAAATTCCTCATCTCTGCAAGTCTTGACCAACCGCCCTTATGACCGACCGAGTGTGCACACGCTCATTACCTGGCAAGGGGGACCTGTCTCCCGGAGGAAGAACCTCTTCGTGGATAAACTGGCTGATCTGCACGGCCACAAGATGCGGGTTGTCACGTTCCACTTTCCTCCAAGGATCTTCTTTGAGGAGCTGAGGGACGGAGGTCAGCTACTCTACGGGGTAGACATTGAGGTAGGTAGTCTATTGTGTGTGTGGGTGTACTTACCTAGTTGTTGTACTCATCTAGATGCACTTGCGGGGGTTGAGCTTTGGCTCTTTAGTCCCGCTTCTCAATTGTCAATCAACTGGTGTACAGGTTCCCGAGCCTACTAAGCTCTATCATATCTACACTTGAAACTGTGTATGGAGTCTGCCTCCACCACATCACTGCCTAATGCATTCCTTTTGTCAACTATTCTGACGCTAAACAAATTATTTTTAATGTCTTTATGGCTCATTTGGGCACTCAATTTCCACCTGTGTGTGAGTGTGAGCGTCCCTACATGACTCCAGGTGATAATATAGTGACGTGCTCAACAGGTGGTGAAGGCCCTCAGCACCACCCTCAACTTCTCCCTGAGCTTCAGGCGGCCGTCAGACGGGGAGATGTGGGGATGGGAGCAAGAGAACGGGTCATGGACGGGTCTCATGGGGGACTTGCAGCGTCGCAGAGCGGACATCGGCGTCGCTGACCTCTACATCATGGAACAATACTTCACAATCATCGACATGTCGCGGGAGTACGACATCGAGTACCTGTGCTTCGTTAACCCGACGCTTGGACCGCTTCCTCAGTGGATGGCCCTGGGCCTTCCCTTCCTGCTGGAGACCTGGGTGGCCATTCTGGTGACGGTGTTGGTGGGCATGTTGGCGATGGTTGTGATGGCGTGGCTCGGCCTCCGCAGCCGATGGATGACGGGAGAATCTCTCTGGTTCCACGACAGCGGCAACATCTGCCTTCTCCTCTATTCTGGCGTCCTGAACACAACTTGGATCCGCGAACCATCGACTTTCTTCCTCCGAGTCTTTGTTTTACTGTGGAGTCTTGCGTTTTTCATCGTGGCAGTGGCTTACAAGGGCTCTCTGGTATCCTACCTGACGGTGCCGCTGCAGCAGCCGCCCACCGACACTCACAAGCAGCTCCTGGAGAAAGGCGTCAAGGTGGGCAGCATCGGACTAACCCTCAAACGAGTGATGGAGAAGAACGCAGACATATACGTGAGACGTCTGGCTGAGAGGTACCAGCTCGTCCCCTCCACCAGCGAGGGACTCCAGCGCACCGTCCTAGGTCAGTACTACCTCAATGGGGAGGGCGACAGGAGGAAAGGGCGATATATTATAATCTTTCTTGTAATGTTGATCACTTCCAGGCAGTTACTCCTTCCTGGAAAGCAGGGGGTTCTTGGAGTACACTATCGCCGTCGACTACACCGACAGGAAGGGCCGAGAAAGCCTCCATATCATGAAGGAGTACGTCGCGCCCTTCGGCATCGGCCTGGCCTACCCCAAGTACGCTCCGTACATCGTCAAGTTTAACCAGGTCATTATCAGGATCAAGGAGGCGGGGCTCGCCAAGAAGTGGTTAGACGACATCATCCTTAGACGTAAACAAGCCAAGATATCCAGCGGGGACAGCCAGGTGAGATAACCGAGGTGAGGTAGCCAGAAATGGCTAGGAGTAGGAGGCAGGTGTAGGACTCCCCAGGTGAGGGAGGCAGGTGTAGGAGTCCCCCAGGTGAGGGAGGCAGGTGTAGGACTCCCCTAGGTGAGGGAGGCAGGTGTAGGACTCCCCAGGTGAGGGAGGCAGGTGTAGGACTCTCCAGGTGGCCATGAGGTGTGACCTCCAGCACGCATCTCTACGTAACAAGAACACAGTACAAACCCTCTGGACACCACCTTGTGTTTACCTTGTGTTTGTTTCGGGGCTTAGCGTCCACACGGCCCGGTCATCGCCCAGGCCTCCTCGTTGATGGTCTGATCAACCTGGCTGTTGGACGTGGCTGCTCGTAGCCTGACGTATGAGTCACAGCCTAGTTGATCAAGTATCCTTTGGAGGTGTTTATCGAGTTCTCTCTTGAACACTGTGAGGGGTCGGCCAGTTATATCCCTTATGTGTAGTGGAAGCGTGTTGAACAGTCTCAGGCCTCTGATGTTGATAGTTCTCTCTCAGAGTACTTGTTGCACCTCTGCTCTTCAACGGGGGTATTCTGCACATCCTGCCATGCCTTCTGGTCTCATGTGGTGTTATTTATGTGTGCAGGTTTGGGACCACTCCATAAATCTATTAAAAATGACTGTCGTGTAGTAGTATCACTAATATTGGTAATATTAGTGATACTAGTAAGGGATGGCGTAGGAGGCGCGTGGACACGCTCCACAACCCTGGTGTTGGAGGAGTACTGATGGGAGACTCGGGTATAAACAGGTAGGAACATAATCTTCGATGACTAAAAGTTCTTGTAGTAATGACTGGTACTCACTACCGCAGGAGTCAGCTGTGGGCGCTGTGGGCGCCGTGGACGACCCTCTGGTGCGGCCCCTCACGACCGACAACCTGCAGGGATGCTTCATCCTCATGATTCTTGGCTACGGTGTCGCCCTCCTCGCCTTCGCTGTGGAGCTCATCACGAAGGACGTCCTCCGCCGCTGCGGGAAGTGGTAGGGTGTCGCCCTCCTCGCCTTCACCCGGAAACTCTTCCTCAAGGTCGTTGTCCTCGGTGGAGGAAGTGGTAGGGTGTCACAGTGGAGTTACTCGAGAATATCGACCATTGCTGCAGGAAGTTCACTCGAATTTCCAGTAAACATCGTGTGAAGATCATACCGAACCACAAAGTGATTCTCGGCCCCACATCAGTCCTGGATATGAAGGAAGTCTTTAGCCGCTGCAGAAAGTTAAGGTGTGACCTTGTCACAGAACACGTCAAATAGAAAAATCATCTTTAGCTGCTGGTCCTCACAATACACTCCGGCTTGTGGCTATAGTGTGAACTCTGGCACAGTTTGGACCCATTACTGTGTAACTCACATGTGTGGGAGAGCGAGCACTGCGGCTCGCTAGCATCTCTTACCACTACCAATGTTAACAATACAATGAATATTTTGGACCCTTTAAAACACTGAAAATTTAGACAAAATATTACGAATGTTTAACAAACTGTAGCGACACTTTCACTAAAGTTCCTATGTCATAATGTTATGTTTACAGACGGCTGTGGGGGTCAGCCGACGCTGCCTCCGTGTTACACCTACGGACTGCCCTGAGTGATCAGCCGTACTGCAATTCATAGCTTCGATGGATATTTCACACATGAACGATTACTATATTCTGAACACATTTCAATGTGGATATTAGGAAACATTCAAAGAAACGCTCACTCCTGGTAGTTGTCGAATTAAATGACAAAGCAGAGTTGACGAGACTTTAGGTGTGATAAACAAATGAGCAGAGATTGACACACAAAGAAGAAGAAGAAATGAGTAAGAGATTTAGACATTGACCATGATCTAGGAGCAGCAATGAAAAGAAAATGTAGGGTATGATAACAAATATAATTTTTCCTTAGTAGTATCCGATAGCAAGATGTAAGAGCTCCAGAAAGGAAGGAGGAAGAATAGTATTCTTAATTATAAAGATCGCATCAAGGGGCCACACTAGCATTTGAAACATTTTCTCTCAAGGCGATAAATCAAGTCAACTAACCACATAATGGCTCTGGCACATAATGGCTCTGGCACATAGTGTGCTGCACCTTTATCCTCAATTATGACTAACTTAAGAATACGATTTATGCTAAATGAAAAATTAATATTAATCTCATCAAAAAGCTCAGTTTTATAGCAAGGCCTAAGACAAGCTGCTGTAAGACAACATCTCTTAGCTTACTGTATTAGGAACATCGTTGCCAATCCTACTGAACCCTTGTCTAAAAAAATATATACAATGGAAATGAATGTGCTATATTTATATAACTGCAGTTTGCTTTTCCATTAGAGATCTTCGGCGCCGTGGAGGGGGGGTCTGCTGCATAGATAACAGCTTCTACATATTAACCTACCCTGGCTTTGCGCCTTGAAGAGGCCACTCCAGACCGACAACCTGAGCGCCACTTCATAGTCTCAGGAGACTGATGGATGTCTACATATAGTTTCATATTCTTGGAGAGAGAGTGAGAGAGGTGTGTGAGGTCACCTGGGACTGGAATATGTTAGTGGAGGATTAAACAGATATTGAAGGTCAGATCACCTGACGTACGATGATCAATAGATATTAAAGGTCATCAAGAAAAATTAGGTCATTAAAAGTGGTTTTCAGGTATTAGGTCATAAAGAGACAGAATCAACATAAGAAATATACAGATATTAAAAACAGGAATAGCCATCAAGGGTCACCAGAGGTCATCAGTGATATAAATTTGTTATTTGTGAGGGAAATTCCCCAAAGGTCACAATAGGTCAGAGGAGATTAAATGAGGTCAAATTACCTTTACCGTTTTCCTTAAACTACTTTGTGAGGAGATCCTTACGTTTGACCCCGGGGAAGTTAAGGTCAATGGATGGTTACTTTAACTTCGTGCGCGATAACGGGTCTCTGATTGGTCATTACATCGTTAAGATCCGTACTCACCTACACGTACTCTTCTAGATGTACTTGCAGAGTCGAGCGTGAGTCTCAGCCTAGTCAGTCGAAAAATTAGAAGCTGAATGAAAGCTGTTCTTCTCTTGTGTTAGGTTGACCAGCCTTAGCTGACGCATCCCATTAATTTAAATGGGATGAATCAGATTACACTGAAAATGTGATCTTACATCTTTGTGACTCATTCATTCTTCAAGTTTCCATCTTCATTCTGTCAACGTTTCTTTTTTTTATCTTACTTTCAGTCAATTTACTTTCAGTATCTTATACGTTGTTAACATATTACCTCAGGCCCTTCTCTCTTCTAATGTCTTGGGTTTAGCTCGTAGTTCTCATAGCGCGTCTGTTGTATGTCAGATAGATGTTTCGTGACATATATTTGAAAATTCTGAAGATTCTTCCTGTGTTTTACAGGTGCGTTTGTTTACAAACATTGTCATGTTCGATCCTGTCTCCTACAGGACACCGGTAGCCACCTCTCTACGTCCTCACACTTCCTCTTTCACAGAAACCTTCTGTTTCTTTCTTGTCAGTTACTGTGATTCTTCTCCGGCTCGACCATGTCATCCTAATTTATCTCTTGGCTTCCGCCTTCGAGCTATTGATCAAGTAATCAAGCGAGTCTAAAGTTTCTTGAGATTTATGATATTTACTCTGGAAGCTGCGGATGGGGTTGACCTCCACCACCTTGTTGCTGAGGTCATTACAGTGTCACTACAGTGTCAATACAGTGTCAATACAGTGTCACTACAGTGTCACTACAATGCCACTGCAGTTCCTCTTATTCGTGTTTCAATACCGAGTTGTCGCCTCTTGCAGTGTCCCAATCCATACTGTGTAGACAGGAATAGTCATGAGAGAAAGCGGTAGCAAGGAGAGCAGATAAAGGAAGATGAGCTGTGGAAACTTTATTATTATTTTCTATACATTTTCCTCTGTCCTCCTTGGACACACTTAGAGATCTGTTAAACATATAGTTCAGGGATTTATTGAACAATTAACCACAGAAGTTGATTGTCGTGGAGTGTTTGGGAGATCAAAGAAGATTACTGGGTGATCCTGGGAGGGATGGCAGGAAGAGGAGGAGACGTTGACGTCCTGGGAGGGATGTGTTGGGTGCTGGGGAGATGTGTTGAGCTGTGAGGGCAGAGGATGACACGGGGGTGGAAGCGAGAAGATGATCAACAAACACCCGAGCAACCTTGCTTGGTCTGGCTCCTGTGTAACTTGTGGAAGTTTGTGGGTGAGACAGGTAGTTGCTGTGGACTTAAGGCAAGTTCTTGTTAGTGTTGCTAACACACGCGCGCACCTGCACACACACACACACACACACACACACACACACACACACACACACACACACACACACAACGTTAGAAGGAACTTTTTCAGTGTCAGAGTAGTTAACGGATGGACTGCATTAGGCAATGATGTGGTGGAGGCTGACTCCATACACAGTTTCAAATGTAGATATGATAGAGCCCAATAGGCTCAGGCATCTGTACACCAGTTGATTGACAGTTGAGAGGCGGGACCAAAGAGCCAAAGCTCAACCCCCGCAAGCACAAATAGGTGAGTACACACACACACACAAAGCCAATTTCACCACCACCGATACAATAGTATTTAAATATATCCCACAATAAGCCATTATATATGTTCCAACTCCTAACTCAAAGAATTAAAAACGGGCGGCACAATTGCCTTACAAACTGTACTCATGAACAAGCCGAGGCTGGCGCCGCTGAACCACGGTGCGGAAGTCAGCAGTAAAATAGCAATAACTGCCTTCTATTGTGAAACATTACAGCCAGATCAAGTAACGCAACTCACCTCTTCAATGGGAACTCAGCGTGTCTGAAAACTCAGGATGGATCTAATCATTCAGTATTATTTGTAGAATCTTTTTCATGTTGCTGTTGAGTAGTTTCTGCAGGAATTGCATTTGAATTCCATTTTTTTACATGATTATTCCATTTTTTTTTACAATTCACATTTTTTGCAAAGCCATTTTGTCGGACACAGACAGCTTACTCGAGTGCTTGCCTCTATGTATTTTACACTATATCTTTCTGTATCTATCACTGTCTCTCTGTGTGTCTATCACACTCTCTTACTGTGTCTATCAGTCTCTTTCAATGTCTATCACTGTTCTAGTGTGTATCACTGTTCCAGTGTCTATCACTGTCTCTTCATGTGTTCAACAATGTGCCTTTTTCTCTCTCCGCATTAGTTTTAATATCAGTATTTCTATATTTCTGAATGTCTCCCTGTTTATATCTCTGTGTCTTTGTATGTATCCGTCTGACTCGGCTAATGACTATGCGTGTGTCTACGTCTCTTAATGCTTCTCTTCCTGTAAAAGTGTCACAACGTATGTGTATCTTGTTTCACCTTCCATCTCATGTGTCCTAAAATCTCCACTCTTCCCTTCGCCTGTAACACATGTATCTTCCTACTGTTTACAGTCATACTCTCTCTCTCTCTCCATACATCACTCTGATTCAGTGAGATTAAGATCAACATTTGTAGGTGACTTTTATATTCCTTCTCTTCTTCTCCTCCACACAAGATGTCGCCTCCACCTCTGGCTTAATCAGGATCATTAATAATCAAACTCTCCTCACAATGGTCTCCAGACAGCAGTTTAGCTCACACGCACTTACAATGTCCCGCCCTGAGGCAAGTTATTGCCTTCACGTTAATGGGGCGAGTGATTAGAGAGAGGGTAAGGAGGGGAGAGAGGGGGAAAAGAGAGGAGAGAGGAGAAAGGATAGAGAGAGAAGAGGGAAAGAGAGTAGAGAGAAACTGATAGTCATTATTTTAATAATATTATAATTGAGAAAATGAATAGGAGCCATAAGAGATTCGAACTTGCATATTGAGTACTCCCAACCACACGTACTTAATTATTATTTATTATCACAATGCTAATTTCTTGACTATTGCAAGCTATAACTTTACTGTGAAGCGCTATTTATGTATTAATAAGGTACACAAATGACTTGGCGCATATACTGAGTACCATAGCCTAGTCATCCACGGGATATTTGGGTCGCTGAAGTTAGAGTGAATTTTCGCAAACCAATCTTATGTCTAAATAAGTTCCATTATTTTGCGTATTTAGGATAGTACGAGGTGTAAACATTATTCTCTTTGTATAATAGGACATTGTTCTGCTTGTAAGAGGACATTGTTCTCTTTGTAAGAGAGGACATTGTTTTGCTTGTAGAAGAGGATGTTTTTCTGTTTGTAATAGGATATTTTTGTATGAGAAAGTATGATTCTATTAGTAGGAGAGGACAGTTCTGTTTGTAGGAGAGAACGTCTGGAATCAACTTGAGCCGCCTCTTGTGTGTCCCAGAGGGAAGGTGCTGAAGTGAAGAGGAGTGAGGGGGGATGCATGATGTGAATTTTATCAGATAAATGCAGACCAGCTTCTTATATTCCTTATGACGCAAACTTAAACTTATATACTTGAATCTTCCCATGATGCCAAAACGCCTGCAAGAGGGATTAACCTTTTTCTTAAGCCTCTGACCCAAAACTCAAATACATGTATCGAGAATCGTAACAAATTATAATAAACATAAGTTGTGATAGTTGAGAAAATGTTCTTTGACAACTGGCTGTAACGTAAACGTAAAAAAAGTGAAAGTAAGATAGTAAAATATTGTTTGTTTACGAACTAAATAAAACGGAGGCAGCCAATAGAGATGCGAGTCTACGGTTGTCATGGTAACCTCTGGCATCAGAACAGGACTCATAGGCCGGAAAGTTGGCTTGTCTGACCTCTGTCGAGGGCTGTGATGCGCTCTGTCTGGTAATTATTGGATACATTGAGAATAATATATGATGGTTCGAAAAGTCATAAACAAGGACTTGCAACGCTGCACAAAGTTAAAATCGTTACTAAAAGTGATTGACAATATTGCAAAACAATGTGGACATGTTTTTAAGTTATTGCAAAAATAGTAAACATAATTTTTAATTTATTTTAATATGAACGTAAATTATTCATTTTCTTTTTATTTAAAATTCAAGGGTAAAATTTATTGACAAATAATCCTGGAATAATTGCGCTATCTTCAATATTATATATATATTGTCAATTATCATTATCGTAATTTTTTCATCATATAAATAATAAATATACAAATTATTATCATCCTAATATGAAATTTATAAACAAATTTATTAACCTAAATATAACGATTAATTATGTTTAATAAT